TGGTGGGATTCAAATAATTTAACAACCGGTTCCCTGACCCTGACCCTAACCCTAACTCTAATGATTTCTTCCAACAACCAGTTCACCAAACTGCTCAGAAAGTTAACAACCGGTTCTTCCGAAGTGGTGCGAACTGGCTGAATCCCACCACTGCAATCAATCTGATAATCTTTCCCCACTAACTTTTTTGGTATCCTCTATTCTCAGAATTTGACAAAATTGCCTGTTCTACTTTTTGGGAAATCTATAGGTTAGAAATTAAAACATGAAAACAATTATAGTGATGTATCTTCCTGGTCATACATGGAGACGGTTTTAGCCATTCCATCCTGTCCTTGAAGAAGAGAGCAATCTTACCGCATACCACACGATGGGGTTTTGCTACAAATAAATTCTTTTTCTGAGGTAGGTAGCTCACCAAAATATTATAAATAAAACATTTTCCTGCTCAAACTGAAGACTGGAATGCAAGACTGTGATTACAGTTGACAGTTTCCCAGTTTATACAGAAAACTACCCCAAAAGGGATACTTACATAGCATAGGAAAAGGTATTAATCCTAGTTCAGATTCCTAAATTTATTACATACGATATATCTTCGAAACTAAAATTCTCTGGAAAATAGATGTTCTATTTTTCTCAATTACCTGGATGTTCTGTAGATTCCTGGCAAATCTAGGTTTTAATAAGAGGCTAAATGAAATAATCTTAGGCTTTTTTCCAGGCCTGATTCATAACTGCCCCTATTTTCAAAGGATCCAAATGATTTATCTCCAGAATAGGAGAGACTGGAGTAAATCTCTGTGTGTATGTGGCAAAGAGCATTTCTCCCTCATGGATGTAACTGAACATCTGAGACCATCTGGCAAACATCCCAGAGTATTGTGGATGTCTGGCTTGAGGTTACATCCACAACACATGGTTTTGCATGAGAAGCAAATGTACTAGACATCTATAGTACAGTAATATTTTTAAGTTTGCTTTCTCAATTAAGAAAATGATTAGAATACTTTTGACTAGAATATAATATCAGACAGCTTTAAAAGCAAGTGATTCTGTGTATGTAAGAATTAATAATCTTTGGAACAGATGTAAAAGAGTTAGTCTTTGAAACATTAAGAAATATTTAAATTAGCATCACACATTTGGTGTAGAAGCTAGATAATAGGGTGTAATTTAATATAGCAAAGTGGAGGAGTATTGTTGCATGCAGAATTTGGCCTTGGCACTTCTGTTTAAAGCAGATTGGCTTGTCTGAACTGAAGTTCTGAATAGTGAAGTTATATAGTCAGAGGTGGGTCACATACTGTAACTACTGTTTCACCTGAACTGTTCTGAACCTGTGGCAGCCCACCACTGTATATAGTCCGTATATTTCACCATGGCTCATTTACCACCAAATTGCTTTGACCATTAGTAGTTCAGATTCTTGTAGAGAGCTTAAGCTTGCAATAAATCTATATATTCATTTGAACTGCTTGAGTCTCCTGATTTTTCTGGTGCTTGACAGTCATTCTATGATTGTGGCAGTTCCTTAACCACTGCAAAAAAGGTCCTAAAATTGGGTCAGTCACAACTGATAGTTACAACTGTCATGATTTATGACCATAATAGGAAGGCTCCATTACAGTCGCAAGTCGAGGACTACCTGTAACAAGTCAGTTAACACAATCAGAATAATGTCTACCACTTTTACTGCTCCAAATCCACAAGTTCTTAGGGATTTGGAAGTCCTTCCCAGTATACTAGCACAAAGGATATATTTATTCATTTCAATGAGACACAGGCAAAAATTAATCTAGATGATGACCTCTTCGTTCATAGAACAGGATGTTATTCCCAACAGAAATGTAGCATCACTACTAGTTTTGAATATATCAAAAATATTAATAATTCCTACCTTCTGGACAGGGTTGTTGTTATTTTAAATCTATAATTACTTTTGCAAAGATTTCAGGAATACAATAAACCTATTATACTTTCTCATACAACCTAGCATACAGTTGAAATCAAGAAAAAATTCCAGCCTATAAAAAAAATCAAGACTGGCTCTTATTTCTCAGTATTAAAAGCCCATATTATTCCAGCAATAGTATTGTTTAATTTGTATAAGACATCTCCTAAACAGTTATCCTGATTTTTCTTCCTGTACTGCTTCAAGAAACCAAAGAGTCAATAATAATTGTGTCTTTTAAATAATCTTCTTTTGCTTTGGGAACAGCAGATATTACACAGTAAGGAACAAATTGAATATAAGCAGTGCCCTGCTGGATCAGACCTCAGGCCCATCTTATCCAGCAGCCTGTTCTCACAGTGACCAACTAACTGTGCAAGGAAGTCTCCCAGTAGCCTCCCAGCAAATGGTTTTCAGAAGCAGTCACACTACCATCAAGGCTAATAGTTATTGATCCACATGGCTTTCATGAATCGATCAAAACCTTTTTTTAAAGCCAGTCAAGCTGATAACAAGCACCACATCTGATTCAGGCTATGTTGCTTGCTAAGACTGACAATGCCTCACACAAAGAATTTGCCTTCAAACCAAGTATGATTTAAGTGTTCCATCATGTGCATCTTCTTTAAATACTGAATTGTCTACTGTATAATGATGCGCCTCAATGCTGGAATCAAGTGTTGGAGGCTTTTCCATTTACATTGTTACTTGCTTTTTTCAATTTTCTTCTAATAAGCATGATTTGCAAAGGATCATAACTTAATGTCAATACTTTAACTTCTGACTCCAGGGAATTCTCGTTTAATGACCCTCTTAGAAATTGGCAACTATTGCTAAGCGAAGCGGTCCTTAATTGGGAAATCAATGCTCAGTGTGCTTTCCAGCTAGAAAGAGACAATACTATACTTACGGTAATTACACACTTTCAGTTTGTGCTTGTCTTCTAACCATTCCTCTGGCCTTTGGAATGCTCAAGTGCTTGCTTACTGTCTTGTTCACATTGAAAGCAATGTGACTACCCCACAGTCTAGGCCTGGGAGCCGTGGGTGTGCTGCACAAATATCTTATAGTAGTCAATTGAAATCTCTTCTTTTTTCCCCACTCTGTGGTGGTGAGGGGTAAAGAGAGAAAAAGCAAGCAATTTCTGAAGGTAATATTAAGGAGATTCTCAGTCATCCAGTTCATGGTTGTCCAAAGGGTGCTTTTTTCAAGAGGCAATTAGACTTTCAAGTTGCAATAGTGATGAAAATCATTCAAGTTGCAATAGTGATGAAAATAACTTTCTTGTACATTTACAATCATTTGAGACCTTTCAAGAGGGAAAGGAATTTGCTCTTTTATGTGTTGAAAGCAATGTGATCATACACTGGTAGTAGGTAAGGGTCAGGGAAAGAAAAGACTACAGAAGGCAACTCGACTTTCTGGTTTTTCTTTGAAATCATTTCACTTCCCACCGAACAAGCTTCTGCAGCTCTGACGGATGGTGGGAAATGGAAGGATTTATACTTCTTGTAGACAGCTGGTCATTTGCATTATTTTAGCAAGTCATTAAGGCCACATGGAGGTTTATCTGTGTCATCAGGGTCACCTGAGTGGTGCAAATGGGTGTGGAGACTTTTTGGAATTGATGAAAGGACTGTGTGGTAGACGGGAGATAGATGGTATCCCCACCATCACCTCTGATGAGGCCATCATTGTCAAAATTGAACAGCCCTCTCTCAGGTGAGCCTGACGACACAGATAAACCTCCAGGTGGTTTTAACAACTTGCTAAAATAATGCAAATGAGTATGTCTGCAAGGAGTATAAATCCTTCCCTTTCCCACCATCCAGTCAGAATTGAAGAAGCTTCTTGGATGAGAAGCAAAACATCTTCAAACAAAAACCAGAAAGTCGAGTTGCCTTCTGTAGTCTTTTCTTTCCCTGACCCTTACCTACTACCAGTGTATGATCACATTGCTTTCAACACATAAAAGAGCAAATCCCTTTCCCTCTTGAAAGGTCTCAAATGATTGTAAATGTACAAGAAAGTTATTTTCATCACTATTGCAACTTGAATGATTGGTAAGCAAGGAATACCTGGATTTTATTCTATTAATTTCATACATCATGTTTTAAAATTACTGTTTTATCTCAAATGAGCTGTAAAGTACCCAGATACTCCAAGTGGACACTTGATTAAAATTCAAATATAACTAGTCCTCATTAAGCAACTCACTCATTTAGTGACTGTTTGAAGTTATACAATGATGAAAATGTAATCTTGCAACCAGTCCTTATATTTCTGACTTTACAGGTCTGTAAAGCAAAGAATCTGAATTAAGATCATAAGCACAGTCAGGATTTCATTTAGCAACCCTTTCACTTCACGACCAAGTTGCTGGTCCCAATTGTGGTCATTAAACAAGGATAATCTGTACCTGATGCAGTAGCATTTTGGAGGGGTCAAAAAAACCCCAATGCATCCTATTTTATTGTCTTCCCCTTGCTGAACAAATACTGAGCACATAATAACTGAAACTTGTTACAACCAAAGGTATAATCTGGATTCACCTTTCCCAACCTCTTCTCCCGATGTTTTGGTGGTACGATTCCCAATTTTTCAGAAAGTATCATTTTGGCTGGAAATTCTGAGAGTTACTATTCTGACATATCTGGAGAAGGCTAGCTAGCTTATTTCTTTTTTGAGATCTTCACTAGCAAAAAAAGAAAAAGATTAAAGCTTAACACACAGTTCAAAACCAGTATATCTAGTATCTATTTTTAATAGGTATAACGTTACTTTTTACACAGAAAGTACTAGGTTCACCCTTTCAGAGATAAAGTAAATATGAATTACTGACAAATTCTATTTTACATTTATGAATTGCATAGAACAAACATCTTGCCATTCTCCATACATTCTGGATACAGCTCATTAATAATTTGTTATCTACAAATTTTCACTGCAAGTCTGAAACTGATACATATTTATGGGGTTCACAAAGAAACTTATAGCAGTTACCCTCTGAGTATTTCATACTAGTAAAAGAGCTGTTAACACTCACCCTTCCTAGCTCTTTATCTTCAAGTGCCAGGACCCCTGTGCTTTCTGTAAAAAGTTTCACTTTGACGACAGGCCGAGGATGGGTTGTGGTAAAATCCCCTTGGGTTCCCCATCTGTAACAACAACAAAATTATGACATTCATAATCCAAGCCCATTAAGGGTAAGTGGCACTCTGGGTTTCAATAAACCAATGCAGGTTTTTCACCTCCCTACAGATGTATTGAGTGAAAATCTACATCTAAACATTATGTTTTGAGAGTGGCAGAGGCTTAAGGATTTTTCAGACATTAGTTTTGCAATTAAAAACCATTCAATGTGGCAGATGGCATGATGAAAGATTAATTATACACCGAGTATACAACAAAAAGTGGATAGATTTGTGTAAATTATTTGGGATAAATTTGAATTTTCCCTCATTAGAATAGACTAAAGATATGAACACCAATCGTGTTAAAGATGTTTTTTCAAATATTCTGCAGCTATCTAGTACAATGTTGTGAGTTGCACCTAATGCGGTGTTGATGAACCCATGACACACATGTCAAAGGTGACCACACACCATGCCACTTCTGCTGACACACAAGTCTTCTAAGGCAGGGGTCTCCAACCTTGTCAACTTTAAGCCTGGTGGACTTCAACTCCCAGAATTCCCCAGGCTGGGGAATTCTGGGAGTTGAAGTCCACCAGGCTTAAAGTTGACAAGGTTGGAGACCCCTGCTCTAAGGCCTCTGAAAATCTAGCTCTCATTATCACATGATTTTCTGAGGCTGGACAAGCCCAGAGAGAGCAGGGCCCAGTCATTGCAAGGCCTCTATTAAAAAATCACACAGGAATGGGGCATGCTTTCCCGCCTTGTTGGGACACTGCGAGGCCACGTAATGGCATTCTCTCATTCAGCATTTCAACAGCTACAACCCGAAAATAGATAGTCATTAATAGCATTTCAGCAGTTACAGCCTGAAAATAGTTTTCTTTTTAAAGACTTGTTTTGATAGAGCCCAGTCACAGTCACTGGTAGTGACTTTCCTGTTTTGCTTGTCTCGGAAAACAAAGGAGATTCTTCCGTAAAACAATTGCCATCTGCTGGGAGCTAGAAGCTTTTTTCTTTTCTGTGGCACCTTCCGCCCCGAGACCTCCATTCTCCTGGCCTTCTGTGAAGCTTTGAAGACCTGGCTTTTCCCTCAAGGCTGAGGATAGATGACTGCACATTAGAAGTTTGACTCGGTGCCAGTGTCTTCCCCCCCCCCATTTTTAATGTTTTAATCTGTTTAGCTTTATAGTTTTAATAAAAAAAATGAATATGTAACCACTTTTCAAAAACCTTGCCAAGAAAAACTGCGGGGACATGTCTAGGCACTCTCCAAGAATTGGACATGATTGAACAGAAGAAAAAAAGAAACCAAATAACTCCTGTATCGCCAAAGCAGTCATCATCTGAAACATGTTGCTGATATTATTCTGCACTTTATTCCTACATCCTAGTAATTTAGCTCTGCAACTTGATAGCAATAGCACTTAGACTTATATACCATTTCACATTATATACCATTTCACAGTGCTTTACAGTCCTCTCTAAGAGGCTTACAGAGTCAGCATATTGCTCCCAACAATCTGGGTCCTCATTTTACCGACCTTGGAAGGGTGGAAGGCTGAGAGAACCTTGAGTAGGAGAGAACTGCCGAATTGCAGTAGCAGAAGTAGCCTGCATTCTAACCACTGAGCCACCACGGCTCATATGTGAGGGCCATGGAGGATGGACTTTGTAATACTCAAAACATGGTTTTTATAGTACTGTTGCATTGGCTAATTAACATGGGTTTTCTTGTATTTTAAATTTGCTTTTTAATTGTACAGCTAATAATTTCCCATAAACCTCAACCATAAATAAAAGGTCTCTCTTTCAGAAGCCAGGAGAACATTCAAGACATTTTAGATAACAGTTTCATTTTAAGCTATTCTCAAGCCTCCATGAACAAAAAAATAATAATAGTCAAGCCAACCTTGGGAAGTGCTGGGAATGTATGTTACACAAACCCATTTTTCCTTTGCAAATGTTTCTTTGCTCTTTTCTATGGCTATGCTCCCATATTAATGGATACTTCAATTCTTGTGATGAAACTGGACAGATGACTGTTTCTAAACCAATCAACTTCTGCCCTGTTCTTTGTTGGCATAACTATAAAAATAAATGTAAGCCATTTTCCCCGTTCCCCCTTTTCATAGAGAAACTCCACTTTATCAGAGTATGCAAGGCAAGAATGGTTAGAATATGAAAGTTCTGTCAAAGAGGAAGATGACTGGTGGAATTGGCTTATCAGCTGGCTACCCAATTTTGCATGGCCCAAAAACATTTTTATTATTCTTGTGTTAATTATAACACGGTTTATTTGTTGTGCTTACTGGCAAAGTTTATCCACCATTATTAGTTGTTGTAAGGATTTGATCCCAAAGACTAAGTTATTGGGTGATTCCTCTCAGTCAAAGCTTTAAAAAGACTCAAAGGTGGGAAATGAAGGACTCAGGTTGGAATTAGGAAAGTTTGTTAAAGGAATTGCTGACACAGAAAGTTGCAGCTGTGATGAGCGTAACAATGGTGGGACACTACTGCCTAGCAACCAGAAAATTACAAGTAAGAAGGATACACAATGTGCTAAGGCACGTAGATATATAAACTTTATAACCTCTAGCTCAGTGTTTCTCAACCTTGGCAACTTGAAGATGTCCGGACTTCAACTCCCAGAATTCCCCAGCCAGCGGATTCCTCATATCTGCTGGTCTTTATTGGCTTTGATGCTAGGCTAAAACCCATTTTGGGTACAACACATGTATAGTTAAAGTTTTCTATTGCAGTAGAACTTCATGGCTGTCCAGTGTATACTTTAGGAAAATGCTGGGGTGGGGTGGGGGGAAATAAGGAGAATATGATACAAATTGTTGTTGTTCCTTCATGTCAGTGTTGATGCCTGGACAACTTGCTGCAGTTTTCTTGACAAGGTGTCATAAATGGTTTGCTACTGTTTCCTTTCAGGAGCTCAGAGACAGTGACTGACTCCAAGGTTAGGCGTAATGCCTAAGCCGGGATAGAACTCACAGCCTCTTGGTTTATAGTCTGTTTTCTTAACTACTTGCACTAAATAAGTAACAACTGCTATAACTAACATTGAAAACAAATTACTTTAAGAAAAGACAAGCTTCTATGTACGTATTTTGTATGTAAATACTATGGCCATAATTATGTTTTCCATAATTTGCAACCTTCCTTAAAGACAGTAATTAACAAATGGTATCAACGTCATAACATTTGACTCATGGAAGAGTCATCTAAATAGCAAATTTCTTCTTTAAGTTGACTGGTCTCCATGACACAGAATTAAGTCTATTTTACATTAGCATATACAATGTTTTCTTATGTATCAAGCTTGTCTGCAACTGTTCCAGAAAGCATTTATGTGTTTTTCAGATTACTAGTTTTGATTTCCCCCCCAAAGCATTTAACCATCTGTGAACTATCATAATATGCATTTATTCTGTTGCAAGGGTTGGGTGCCTGAGCGACAAAATACTGCCATCTCTTCTTACACAAGGATGAAGCAATTACAACATGTCAATCACTGCAGATTTAATTCTAATAGAGTTCTGAGATGATGCTGAGAAAAAAAGACAGGGAATGCAAGGAAAAGAAAAAAATTGGTGGAGAAGGAATAAAGCTTATTTAGGATGGTTTTCTGAAAGAGACAGGAGGGAGGGTTTTCTGACAGGAGGGAGGATATACAAACACAAAACATAGCGAATCTACATATTCTTAATATAATAGATAGATGCATAAACTGAACTGGCATCCAACTTAATGAAGCTAGGCTATTTTCATGACTCTTATCACCAAAACATTGCTGTTTTGAAATAAGCCCAACATCATCTACTTTTCTTGAATCCATTTTGTTAAATAGTCAAATTCTACAATGCAAATGTTTATAGCATGATGCAGAGTTAAATTGGAAACAGATATTCTCTTCGCTTCTATTTACCACAAGGATTATTAAAGCCAGTTTCTATTTCTTCTGCTTCACTGTGGTACACTGAAAAGTGTCTTTGTGCAGTATATTCCTTGTGGTGTTTTTAGCTACACTGATCAATAGGAGACACTATGTGACCAGTTTTATTGTACTGAGGCTCATCAGATATGTGTAGTAGTTGTTATACCTTGGGGTATAATACCCATTATACAGGTAGAACATCTATGGGGAATACGATCTGGAAATTCATTGTGATGTTCAAATAGGACAAAACCAGTCACATGGTGTTTCCTGGAGGTCAATGTAACAGAAAACAAAAAACAAAACAAAACAGATATCTCTATTTCTGTGCTTTGAGAGTTCAAGGGAAGGCGGACTGTATATACAATTCTAACAATTTCTATATAAACCTCTCTGCAATGACTAAGAATCTGGACCTAGGTACCTCCTAAACTAATGCCCTGTATATAGTCAACTGAAATGAAAAGGCCCATGAATTCAATTCTCAGTAGAGGGTTTGAACCTCACAGAATAACAAGCTTCCTATAGTAGGTAGGTATGCAACATTAGGATTGCATTAAAGAAAGGACAAAAATTAGGCAACAAGGAGGATGGACATTATGTGATGGGATAGATCATAGCATACCTCCAAGGCAGAGCTAAAAATTCAATTTCTTTTCTGAATGTGAACCCAAAATTCAATAGTAGACTTAAGAAGTGCTCTAAAATATGTGTCATAAAATAGAATATTGGTTTGGAAGATGCTCATGCTGTATATTTATTAAATGAAAGAGTTTTGGCTTGAAGTATAATAACAAGTCTCATATGCATCATGCTATAGATACTAGGAATATATTCTCTCTCTCCCCCCCACCCTCTCTCTGTATGCATGCATGCATGCCAAGGGTGGGTTCCTGCCAGTTCTAACCCCTTCAATAAAAGAGGTTCCACAAATCTACCATGCCATTTAGAACAGGTTCCAGCTGCTATCCCCCACCCATCCGCACCACGCTTGCCCCGCCCGCCACTCACTGATTGGCTGGCTCACCAATTCCCCCCCACCTCTAAGAGTCCTATCTAAACCATAAAGTCTTAAGCT